AGAAGTTCCAAATCCTTCTTCTGAGACCGGATGCGTACGGCCAGCCACTGGACGAAGTAGTAGATCAGCTCGACGGTAGCGGCTACATAGAGGACGCGAGGAGTTGGCTCATCAGCCCCAGGATTCAGAGCATCGATCACTCGCTCGACCGCCACGAAGGTCTTGCCGGCACCGGCAGGAGCAAACAAGTGCACCATGTCCGAGCCTCTGATAACACTAAGACGCTCTCTCTGGTGACACGTCAGCTTGTCGAGCGCTCGGAGGCTACCGTCGTACATCTCCAGAAAGTGGGATTTGCTGACTTCCACCTCCCAGCGGGGATCTGCCAGGTGCCTGTTGATGTCTCGCTCGAGGTCGTCATTGAGGATTCGATTTCTGAGTTTGTGCAGGGTACCGATGGACTTGATGCGCAGCTTGCCTCTCAGGGCCACAAGATCTGGGCGAAGCCGATGGGTGCCGATGTCGAGCACATCGACGTGCGGAAGGCACTCCATGAGGATCCCTCGCAGCTTCACATCACCTCAGCTCGCACAACAAGAGTATACCAATTGCTTTCCTCTGGGGACCTGTGGCTCCACACGCGTGCTGTCTCCGAGAGCTCCTGAGGTGCCGACCGACATGATCCAGCATGGCCTTCATGGTCGCAAGTGTACTGCAGATGCAAAAGGCGTCGAAAGTCTGCTTTGTGATCTGGCATCGCAGTGTCCATCGCACCACGGTGTCATCGGAACCGTCCCCCTGCTCGGTGTCCACAAGATCCTGCCTCTCGACCGTGCCTCTCCTCCAGGATTTTGTGGCCTCGCACCAGGCGTCGACCAGGTGGCCTTTCTCAAACTGCTCTTCCAGCACGTCGAAGACATCCACCTCTTCGTAACTCCAGCCCATCTCCTTGGCCTTTGCCATCTCCATCTCCTGGGTCGCGCCCAGCTGCCCGGGAGGGAGAGCCACTTTCAAGCGTTGACCGTACTTGAGAGCCTCCTGAACCTTCTCGAGCCACTTGCTCTGCTCTCCGCCACCGGGATCTGGCTCCAGCTTGTCATCACCTAAGCCGCGTGAGCGGGCACTGGTGATAATGTGGGCCCGAAGTTTTTGTGAGGGACGAGCTCCTGTACCAAAGCTTCTTGGGTGATAAAGTGGGAAAGGGACGAAGACAAACCGACCGTCTCTGCGATGAACACATGATTTGAGGAAATGCTGTCAGGTTCAGGCTGCCTGCAACTTGGCATGTGGAACAGGAAGCTAGGAGCTACGAGTGGCATGAACACTCCCGTCTCCTTGGACAGCAACACGGTAGGCCGCAGCAGGAAAGAAAGGAACGAGTTGAGAGACTCAGCAGATGAAAGCTCAGCGATGTTGAGAGAACACTGCTCTCCGCAAGAGTTTGGATGCAGGCTCACAATGTGACGTCAGCTATTTGAGCATTCAGCTTTGACCTGAATCAATCTCAGCGGACCGCAACTTCGACATGTTTCTTAGGCCCTTTGCCTCAATCGACTTTTTGTGGGCTATAGATTCTAGATGTGCTAACCTAGACCTGGCGATATCTGCGAAACTCCTGTGCCGACAAAGGCTTGAGACAAAAATCCGCATGGCATCCGAGGCCAGGACCATTGTCCTCGTGGGCTTGGAAGATGCAGGCCACGGAATCTTGTGGCGACTCGCAGGTCAACATATCCCAGCAGGCTGCGTACTTCGCAGGGAAAGACATCCAGCAAGTCGTCGCCCCAGGAACGATGCGCCCCTCGAAGCTGACTTTCGTCGGGGGGCCACGGGCAGGTCGACCCTTCGGCAACAAGTAGATCATCTCCTCGGGGCGCAACTCCTGACGGCACAGTGACAGCCCTAAAAACAACGATGTAACCCGGAGCCCTAGAACAACGATGTTGGTGTGCGACCATCCCTGGGCCAAGTGCTGGAACTTGCTCCCGGCCCTACCGGCCTCCACAACGTTGCCGTCCCTCCAGCCGTCCTGCATCGTAGATGCGATGATGAAAATGACCGAGACAAGTTTGGGGTACGAGCAGAGAAGTAAATGACAAGAAGGCCAGTTCGTTAACTGACCTGTCTGAGTTCAGTTGTTGGATTCTTCGCAAGATACTTCTCAAGACAGTCTGAACTCCGTGTTGTCTTTCTTCAGTGGTTTGCATCTCGTCACGGCGTTCGCTCGATCCGATTCCTCTGTTTCACAGCTCGACATGGCTTCGGCAACGATGCCGGGGAAAATTCCCGACAACCTACTCGTCGACGAGCCAAGCTCTTTCAAGCGTTTCAGTTGCTGGCTCGATAGGAATCGTTTTCTTCGTGGCGACGGCGATCCCTTTGCAGGCAGGAGCTGAGTTGAACAAGCACCAACTAACCAAGAAAAAGCGCCACACCGATGCACACAGTGTCCTGCTGCTCCTGAATTTTCTCGAGCAGGTCGAAGGACAACCCGACCTTGTTGGCCTCCGTTGAAATCCACTGCAGCTCTCGCTCCCTCTGGGATGCATCTGCGATGTCGGGCACGCGGTACCACCGCTTGAAGATTGCCAGGCGGGTCTTGCCGTCCTGGTTCCGTTCTGTCAAGCCGATCTTTTGCCCTTTCTGTTCGGCGATCTCCGGCAGACACCTCGCGAGCTCTTCCTCCGATTCCAGATCCACGCACTGATCCACTGCCCAAGCAACAAGCGGGCTCTGCGGGTCGAACCTGACGGGGATCTTCCAACGGTTGATGATGGGCCCAACTTGCTTCGAGACGGCACAGCAGGAAACGAGCCAGTCCACCCTCTGCACAAACGGCTCATCGCACGGTTCATCGCAAGCTCGCAGCCG